AGAATCTTACTGTGACTAAAGTGAGGTATTGGATAGGGAAATAATGTCAGTCAGTCATTTTTAGTCTTCTCTGCAGACAACTTGTAGTCCACAAAACAGTCTGGGTGGCAAACAGAAAGGTGGCTGTTCTCATGGCATTTCTTGTCTCTAAATTTAAATACCATTAAAAAAAACTTGAAGCTAAAAACCTATTAAATATTTCGCTGCATTTGCAGTAGTTGCCACAAGAATGGTCATGAGTGGGTAGGGAAGGGAGGTGTGCTGTGTGATTCTAAGGAAGTGAAAATGTAGCCCCAAGGACAACCTTGTTAAACCATAGTCTTTGTGAGAATGATTGAGAATCACCAGAATCTTATTGCAAACATTTATAGTGGGGTTTCTTGGATTAATAGACATACTCTCTAGAACACGAGCTACCTTGATATCTATCTGTCACCCAGCCATGCATTTGGTCCAATAAAAGATATCGCTCACAAAAATCCTTGCCTCTTGTATAAATTCTCAATTATTATGGCTACAACATCACTTCAACTCCACCCTTGAAATCTAGCAGTTTGTCAGTTGCAAGCAGAGTTAGCTTTGAGGGTAGGTGATATGGGAGACTGCCCAAGGCGCCATGGTCAGGAGGGTGCCGTACACACATACAACAGTGCTCTACCCCCATCCCACCTCACTGGTTTCTGCCCCCTCCCCACCTGCAGCTGCTGCTCAGGATGAGCCAGGCTGGGTAGTGTGGGCAGTTGCAGGAGCACGTTCTCTGCCCCCCATGATGGGGCTGGGGAGATGCACGCAGTGCTGGGGACTGAACTAGGGACAAGGCCACCTGCCCAGGCAACCATGCTCCCCCCTTCCTTTCCTGCTTCCCACCCCACCTGGCTGGGGCTGCTGTGCAGCTGTGCCGGCAATGTCATGATCGCTTTTGGCCTCAGCAGCAGCTTGATATGGGCACTCGGGCAGCAGTGGCCTGAGCTGACAGCTGGTGGATGGCTGCAGAATGGTGGCCAGGGACAGGGATAAACTGGGGACAGGTCCACTGGGCAGCTGCACACCCCTAGCCCCTTCACCCCTGCCCTCTGCTGCTCTACCTCACCACCTGCCTCTGCCTGTAGCACCACCACTGACTTGGTGGGGGAGCTTGGGGGGGTTGCCATTTTCCTTAAGGCTGGCTCTGGTTGCAAGTAGCTTTATTGACACACTGTTTCTCAATAAATGTTTTTTGCTAGATCCTAGATCTGGTCCGATCTTTCCTTCTGCCTCAGCTGATACAAATCGTTATATCTCCATTATGACTGAGGATCTGCCCCAAGACATCTGGGAGAATTGCTTTCCCTGTCACTGGTTATAGCTTTCTTGCTCTTATTTATTTATAGTACTCTTCCAAGCACGGTACAGAACTTATGCTCATATTTTGGGACAGCCTGGGAACTCTTAAGGCTAATAGCAAATATTCCTCTTCTGTTCTTACTTCAGCTGAAAGAATGAAGATTAGCAACAAGGCATTCTGTGTTGTCACTTTATTTTGTTTTGTTTTTTAATGTTGGAACTGACATCTGCCCCCTTTGGTTATTTACTCAGTAACATTCCCCTTGGTTTTGTTAGTGAAATCTATGTTAAAACTACTGAAAAAGCAGATCATTTAGTATTGGTGGATATTTCCAGATACAAAATAGTTTTATACTGAGTTCATTTTAGAAATATACAAATTGTATACAAAGATATCAACCTCAAGCAAGGTTTAAGGGCGAGAATAATAATAATTTATGTATTTATTAGATATATATTCTACCCTCCCCAAAGAAGGCTTAGGGTGGGCTTACAATAAAAGGCAAAGCAAATGACCTAATTTTAGTCTACCTCCATTGAAAATCAGTGTCTTTATATATGGCCTGCTGATCATTAAATTTTTTCCCCATTATTTTCTGGAATGTTGATCTGAAGTATGATCTAAGTCCAGTCACATCTGTTGGCATCTTGGAAACTGACTTCAGTGAGCTTTGGATCTCATCATCACTGAATAGCATTGTCAAAGGGTTTATTGCTGCATTCAGAAAGCAGGAAAAAAAATTTTAAAACTGGTGTAAACTAACTTATTTTCCCCTCCTTTATCTTCAGGAAGGTCACACAGTTAAAATGTCTGATCTGGAAAAGGCCATGATTGCCATCATTGAAGCTTTTCACCAGTATTCAGGAAAAGAGGGAGACAAACACAAGCTGAAGAAATCTGAATTAAAAGAGCTCATTAACAATGAACTCCCTCATTTTTTAGGCGTGAGTATTCCCTTTTGAACAAAGAATTGCCCTTTTCCCTGTTGTGAATCAAATGTCAAGATGCCTGATGGCACTGCCATGCTGAATATGTTTGCAGTGGCCTTTCTCAGCTCCCATGATGTTTGCTAAAATATCTCTGGGTAGTAGGCCGTTTCCCCTGGAGATGGGAACAGTACATATACTCAGGCTGCGACTGAAAAAAGGACTTAGTGCAGTGGGCTGGTTCCAGTATTTTAGTCTTTTGTACTATGTTGTGTTTCCTGGGAGTAGGAAAGAGACCCTGTAATTCTTACTGGATACCTATGGGATGGGCAATAAAGAGAGGATACCTCATTCAAAAAGCAGTGTGTTTTCCCTGTGGAAGCCATTTGTGTCTCTTTCATGACTATTAATCTATTTTAGGTATTTCCAAGGCACTTGGCACTGGTAGGCCAGATAGTGCCCCTTGATAAGTACATCCAGAGGAAGGCACAAGGAATCAGTCTCCATTCCTGCAGCTGAACTAGGAATGGGGACCAGAAATTACTCCTGAGTGCCCCAAAGGTCACCATTGTTCAACATTAGCCTGGTGCAGAGTATTTCTCTGCCATTCTTCACCTATTAGGAAGCTTAGGATAAGACTGTGCAGCTGGGTGAGATGAGGAGATTTAGGATGAGAGTGGTGCAAGTCTACGTTGCCCCAGCTCAGGTGTGCCATTTAGTCCTTTGTATCTAAGGACTGTGATGGTAGGTGGTTATGGAAGAGGAGAGAGGACAAAGGCACTCACAAAAATACACATACTGCTGTTGCTCAAAGTATGTATTTATAAATGCAGGAGCCTCATTTGTGAGCTCAGAATGTTACTTTGTTCCTTGCAAAGGAACACTTCAGAGAGTGGGATTGAAATCTGGCTCAGCAAACATTGCCTTTTGATCCATTCTGAGATTACTTTAAAAAGCTTGATATATTTGGAGTCAAAACTGATCCTAGAGATATTTCTTTATTTTTTGGATTATTACAGTAGCTCCTAGAAGATCCAGCCAAGATCAGGACCCCTGTTTCTGACAAAGCTGCTGAAGTTCAATGAGACTAAGTATACTGGTACAAGTAGATACTGAGTCCCTGTTTCTGGCCTGAAGAGCTTGCAGTCTACATTAACAGCATAAAGGCAGGAATTATTATTGTACACATATCATGGATGGAGACCTGAGACATAGAGATTACCTCTTCAATTACCTCTTCAAGATGGTGTGGGAAGTCAGTATGGCAGAACCAGGAACTAAACATAAATTCTGAGTCCCAGTTTAATGCTTGAATCAAAGACTACAATTGTTCCCCTTTGCTGTTTTTTATTAACCTCCAAAAATTTCTGACAAAGCTGCTGAAGTTCAATGAGACTAAGTATACTGGTACACCCAAGCTGCACAAAGAAGCATTGGACTTGTCCAGCCACTAGTATTTATATGTACAAATGCTTCTTTTGTTCAACAGAAAGTCTGTAATGTTTTTGCTTCCCTGTTCCTGGGCCAGTTCCCAGCACAGATTAGAGCATCTTGACAGGTGTTCCAATTTGTACGGACTCCCAGAAGCCCTGCAGGGAAGTTTCAGCTCTTGGGCATTGCCATGGTTAAGGGATACTCTGGCCCTGCTCCCTGTGCTGAGGGCTGAAGTAGGAACTGCTACAATGACTTTATACCAGGCAGTTATTTCTCTTATGTGGGAGAGGCCTCTACAGGCCAGTTTAGCTAGCTAAAAAGCAGCATTGTATTGGGTCTAGTCCCCTGCTGCTATAGGCAGCTGTATTTTATACTGCTATTCATAAACTGTTCATACTCTTCCTTAACTCTACATAGATTACATAGGTGTAGTATCTCCAGATCAGGGCTAGGAAAGCGTGTACTGGCAGTGTCCATGTTGTAGGTAATACTGGATAGCACAGTATTACCAAGCAGTAGTAAATAGCTAAATAATCAGGTGTACTGCAGGGGTGTAACTGAAGGCATTTATGTATGATCTTTTGTAAGACTCTCGGTAAGATGCTCCAAAACTCAACTGGAAAATTAGAAGGACAAGGAAAATACCCTGGGATTTTGAAATCAAGTCACTGTTAAAAACTGAAAGCAGCAAGGAAGTTTTCTGACCCACAGCAGGGAAAATTAAAAGGTGCTGCATGTTTCCCAAGTTAGTTTCCTTTTTTGGAAGAAACTTAAAAAGTTTTCAGATTTAAGAAAATACATTTTAAGTGGATGTGACTTCCAGACTTCATTCACAGCAGTGGTTCTCAACCTTTTCAAACCAAGACACCCCTTGGAAAATGCCAGCTCTTAGTTTTCACTTGATCTTTGACTACAGAAAAATAATAGGGTAATTCTTTTGTTGTTGCAAAGAACTGAGAAAGATCACAGCAGGTCTGAACACTTTTAACATTATAGATTCCTGTTTAAAATCTCTGAGTTTATCTTGTGAATGATGTTTGCATTCCTAACAATGCTAACATTGAGTGGCACCCTAAGGCACCCTTGAAAGGATCTCAAGGCACCCAAGAGTACCCCAGCATCCTGGCAGAGAGTCACTGATCTAGAGATTTGACAAAAGCTCAAGACCAGAGGTAGTTTTTTTTGGACGGTATATTCTTGTAATAAAAATACTCTGATGGAGGGGGACTTGGTACTAACTATGTCAGGACCAAATCATATTCCATGTATCTACAGTTACACCCACTCTGTATTTTTCTGCCTTCTGTTTGAGCTAATTTTTCCTTAAGGCAGCTCTCTTCTCATACTGAGTTACAGCCAGATTCTTGTGTGCATGTTGATCACTTTCAAAGGAAACAAGCTTCTTTTTTGCTGTTACAAAGTTTCCAGTCAGATTACCTTTAAATGCCCACCTTAATCCATTAATGGAAAAACAAACAGGTCAGTGGTGTTATGTGTTCATTATCACAGTAAACAACTCGTGTTTGGTTACTAGTTCATGTGGGACTCTGGTAACAGGGAGACTTATAAAAGCAATCATGGATCCCTGCCAGTGCTTGGAAACCAACATGAGCAAGCACTGGAAACATGTCTAAATTAAAGAAAGGAAAATACTTTATATGTGTTAGAATAAACATTTAATAAAGAAGCCAGACACCACAGTCAGTTCCATTGGAAACCTACTGGGTAATGTGTATGCTGTAGTGTATTTTAGTTCCATTTGAAAAAAAACCAAAACAGGTTACCAACCAGGTCATCTAAATCTTATTTACAACCCTATCCTTCACCACTTTTAACTAGTTTTCTTTATTTTGACTAGGAAATCAAGGATCAGGAGACAGTGGACAAAGTGATGGAGACGCTGGATTGTGACGGTGATGCAGAATGTGACTTCCAGGAATTTGTAGCCTTCATTGCTATGGTCACCTCAGCTTGTCATGAATTCTTTGAACATGAGTGAATCATCAGAGAAGCAGCCAATAACTTACTGTGTGCTATGTAAAGATAAAAGGGAGAAACAATGTGAATTCTAATTGAGAGAGCCTGAGAGAGCTTTAGGGGCTACTAGGATTTAAAGTCTGCTAGGCCTAAGTAGCTTATTAAGTTAAGTATGCTTTATGAATGGAAACACGTATGTCTCTTTAAAGATTGTTTGCTGATGCCAGCCTAGCTCTCATACAGTATTTGTATGCCTTGCCTATAACTAGAATGCATAGCATCCTCCTGCTATATGGCTAGATAGGTGCACAACTTCAGAGGCAACTAGTTAGATCCTCCAAAGTGTCCACATTTTATTGTAAAAGCAAGAAAAAGGAGATCAACTGGTAGGTGATATAAAGGAACTGGAGAACATAAGTCTGATCCAAAATCCATTGAACAGAATGAAAATACTCCAATGGACTTCAATTAGCTCTGCATCAGGAACAATGTATAATACTAATAAAGTCAAGATAGTAAGTACTACACTGAATAGCTACACAACATTTTTATGAACACTTTTATTTCTTAGGAGCTTATTTACCCATAGGAGCTTATTTACCCATACCAATGTTTTATAAAATGCACACTATACTATGTAACATGCTGGATTTGATATCTTATTCTTACAGCCTCCTTTTTAACTGCCTGTAGAATTAGGAGCTAAAGCAATTCCAGTTTATAGATGTATTGTAATAATGAGGTAGCTAGAAAAATAAAGCCTAGGAATGAAGATACATGTGGACATCTTTTTCAGCATAAAGGTAGGGGTAAAGGAAGGATATATTCAAGTGATGACATTATGTTCACAAAAAGGCAGACCCAACATATAGAATACATATATTATAAACAAAACAATGAAAAAGTCACTTATGTTATTTAGACCACAAGACATTTGGGCACCTGTATATGAGACGGACCTCTGCTCTGATGCATGCTAATTAGTATGCATTGGAGCAGACTTGATTAATAGAGTCTGCTGCGAGACTGCTGGAGCATGCTAATTAGTGCACTCCAACAGTCTTCGCGTCACGGGTATTCAGCATCCCCACGTTTCAAAATTGCAGCAGCAGCACTTGAACTAAAACTCAAATGCTGCGGGCGCTTTAATTAGAGCAAGCTCTCAGAGCCGCTCTAATTAAAGCACTCCCCTCTCCACCTCAGAGTACATGTGTAGATGCCCCTTGTGTCTTGAACTTAATGGAAAATGTGCCTTTCTGTCAAACATTATGTTTTTATATATACCTTACTTAGTTACACCCAATCATTGAGAAGAAACCATTTATTATTATTATTATTTTTATGCTATCTTTATAGCTACCATAAGGAATTTCATGTTAATGATGGGTCTTTTATCCCTGACAGAGATTTAAAGCTGTAATATCCTTTACCTGCTGTAACTCTTCTTACATAAATATATTCCATTGAATCTGTTTGGCCAGAATAAGATGAAAATCTCTGTGGACTATCAAAGACTACTGAGTTTAAATGAACTTTTACTGACTTCATGTAGGATATAAGCAAATTTAGCTCACAAAAACTGGCTACAATTTACCCTTTTCTATTGCTCAACAGTGAGTCAACATTATCCTCAAATTTTGGACTAATGAATACTGAGCAGCAAATTTAAAAAATAAAAGTTGGCAGTGTCAGTTTGAGTTAGCTGGGTCTACGCTGTCTGGACTGTATAGGGCCTTCATTTTCAATCTAGTGTATGTATATGGTTTCTGGGATATGTTTATAGATAATCCTAAAGTTTTGTGTATAAATATAAAGAATGAACACAGAGATGGCCATTTATAAATAATTTTAAACAATTTTATAATTTAAACACTTTCATTTTCATTTAATTTCATTTTACACAATGTCTTAAGTTTTACAAAAAGGAAAGATAACTCTTTCTAGAGCTCCTTCTTTCAACTGTGGAAAAAGAATCATCTAGTAACATCTTTGTAAGAAAGGTACAACCCTGTGTTCAGATTCAGATTAAACAAGCCGACTTACCAAAATATTATGACAACATTTTGAAGTTAAAGCATTTACACCATTATATTTTTCTCATCTTCAAAAGTACTTGGTCCTATATTTTATCAGTTCTTTGTACTGCATGTGTAGTTCCCCATTCTATAACCAAATATGTGCTGGTGGACCTAGTGTTAAGGTACTTTATCATTCCAACAGTTTGAAGTGAAACATCAAAGGGAACTAGTGCTTATCCCATGGTTTTTCTTGGCTCCATTTACAGGGACAGTGGGCTCATTCTCTAGCCAGGGCTTGGCATAATGATGCAGAGAGCTCAGGACAGCAATGAGGCAGGGAAAGGCCTCATTGTCTACTCTGCTCTGCATTGCAGGTCTTCATAGATTGTCTCATGTTAGCCATTTCTTGTGCCTCTTTGGAAAAAGATGGGATGGACAGGAAGCTGATCTGTTCTGCTCTAGATGCATGTTCTTTTATCTACTACTTATCAAAGAGCAGCTGGACAAGCCTCCACCAATCTTTCCATTCAATATTGTTTTAACAGGACAAGCGTAATGCTTAACAGAGAGTGTACTGGCCAACCTTTGCTGCAAAGGTTGATGTGACCTACATGAGGTCTGACTATTCTAATCCAACCTCTAGGATTCTCAGGCAGGTGCATTAAATCAACTGTGAATGGCAGTATTTGCCTTCCATATACCTGGTACATGCAAACACAGTAGGCAAGCTGGGAGTAGAGAGGATGGAGTACTTGAGCCAGGCATCTGGCTTGGGTTTTACTAGGATGAATAGGAGTTTGGTTAAGATGAGCTGACCAAGGCAAGCAAATAAACCCAACAGGCAATGTTCTTGAGTTCTGCCCTGAAAAGAGAGAAAAAACACCACTAGGGACATCTCTGTTTCTACTGGGACCCAAAGCAATGCCTGGCCAAGGCCCACTCAGCCAGCAGCATAACTAGGAATGGGTGGGAGGAGCATCTCCCCCAGTCACCAACTTAAGAGGGGTACCAAAACTACCTACCAGCCTTGGGGAGTCTGCACCCCAACAGCATACCCATGCCAGGAACTCTAAAACTGTCCCTGAATGCTGTAGCTTTAAGAACAACCAGTGGAGCAGGCACAGCATGCATAGAAGCAGTATCTGCTCAGCCAGGACTGTAGGAGTTCCCAGCATAGGCAAGGCTACTGCTGCCCCCTCCCCTCAGACCCATGCACCCTGCCCCCCCACTCCTGGGTCCCATGCTTCTCACGCCTACTCTGAACCTACACACAGCTCATCCCCTGGCTCCTGAAACCAGGTACACCCCCCACCTCCTCTACAAGGTTTGCCCCAGGTACCAACTCTGCTTTGCTTTTTATGCCACCATGATCAACTCAGCACTGAGCTAGCAGAACATTCACTGCAGATGAGGGAAGAGTGGGCAAGCCTGTACAAGGTCTTGAAAAACTTAGTGGTGGCCTTACACTGTTCCTCTTGAAGAAATAAGTGTTGGGGCATGCCAAGTGGGAGTACCCAGGAAGCCCTAACAATTGTTACTGCTGTGGGTGCTGGCCAGAGTCAGGATGTTGCGGAAAGGATATACCTCATGGATTTGCCTCTGCTTCCTTCCTAAATTCACCCTATATGCCGCAGGGCCCAGCTTGGGTTCCAGCAAAATTGCAGCAATTCTATTCAATAGGCTGGAAGTATTTGAAATACCTTTTTTGGAAAATTCTCACTGTTTTTTTGGCACCTCTCTCAGTCCCTCCAGCTTTACTGTAACATAACAAAGATGAAGGGTGCATGTACATGTGCAGGGCAGACATCTCTAAAGGCACTATAACTTTTGAACTTTACTTAAAGTACTTTAGGTACAGTGCCTTAAATCTTAATAGATGTTCCACAGTTTGGTACAAGTTTCATGCCTTGCTGTACTTCTGTATAGTAGGAGCTAGGTTATACCTGGCGGTAGCAATTTGCAATTACGTCTTTGGAAAGCCCCAGTTAAGTAATATGTCATAAAGGTAAACTAGGTAGGCTGAGATACCGCAGTTCACCTTATATTTAAAACCCATATAATGAGGTTTAATTAAGGTGACTTCCACCATTTAAAAAAACAATGTTCTAAAGTTGCATACATGTATACTGTGACAGCTTTAGAATGCTTTAAATAGTGAAAATTGTCATGTGTATAGACACCCAAAGAGTCTGGTTCCCCCATAGTTACTGCTGTAGCTGTGCGCTGCAGGCATGCCTACACTAACCACAAGTAAGGCTGTGCGAAACAGCACTGTTTTGTTTTGACTTCCATTTCGACAGGACAGTGTTTCGTTTTGAGTTTCATTTCGAAAGCACTGTTCTGTTTTATTTCATCAAAACTGTTTCGCTGTTTTGACACTGTTTCGACGTTTTGCCCATAGGCTATAATGGGAAAGCACAAAACTGCCTATAACTTTGTCATTTCTTGCCTGATTCGGATGAAATTTGCAGGGATGGTAGCCCCTTCTGGGCGCATCCACACATGTAAGCACATGAACTTGCAGCAGCTCAAATAGAAGTGGTGCAAATTTTAGCTGGGGCTTTTTGCCTTGGTGCAGGTGCTCGGACACGCACTTTGTTGTGGAGCAAATTTTGCCACTTGGGGCAAAATAGCCCTGCCTGGTACCTCCCAGATCTGCAGCCAGGGGGAGCTAGAGCCTGGGGCCAGCATCTGTGCTGTCCCTAGCAGTATAAAAGCTGCCTTGTCCTGGCCCCATCACTACAAAAAGCTGCCCTGGCAAGTAGCTCAGGGCTACTTGCTCTCAGGAGCTTCTGGGGCCCAGCCAATTGGTACCTGGGGACAACAGGACTGCTGAAACAGCCCTGAGAGTTCTCTGTACCCTTTACCCACTGTAGCAGTCTGGCTGTGACCTGCTGTGAACCTGCCAGACCTAGATGAGGCATCTGCCCCTCTGGGCCAGCTGCCAGCGGGCTGTGGCTGTAGGGTTGGCCTTTGTGCAGCACTACTGCCCTGCCCGGCAATCTGGGTAGCTATCACCCAGAAGATGTTCTGGGTTTGGTGGCCTGCTTTGAACTATCAAAGCATGTCCTCCTGGCTCCAATTACAGCCCCCTAACAGGGGCTACCACCCCTGCCCCCACAGGGCCCACGTGCCCACCCCAGCCCCCTGATTGCTGCCCTGCCTGGCCCCATCTCTTGTCAGATCCTGCAGCCCTCCCAATAGCTGCCCTGCCTGGCCCCCACCCCCCCACTTGTACCTCCAACCCCTGATGGCTGCCCGCCCCAGCCTCCGGCACTTAAAGAAAAAAGCCTCTACTTACCCAGAAGGGACTGTGAGGGCTGACAGGA